ATATGTCATAATTAAAAGTCAATCTACAATCAATCGCGATTATTGCAATTTTAAGCAAAACATTAAAAAAAATATCACTATTTAAGGCTCAATCCCACATAGTATTGGGAACAAGTGTTGGTAATGCTCAATCCCACATAGTATTGGAAACACTATTGGGAATGATATTTAAGGCTTGGCTTTCCCACTTCCTTGTTGAGTGATAGAGACAAGGGGGACTCTCGCGTGCCGCCACCGTCCCGTCTCAGGTCGTGGTCGTGGTTGTGGTCGTGGTAATACGTGTCTTCGACACGTCCGCGCGAATACTATCTTTTTAGAGAAAATTCTTAAGAAACAAATGCAATATCGTCGTTGCGATTTTGGACTATCGCAACGAACTTGGAATAAAACGCAACGCGAACTTGGAATAAATCGCAACGCGAACTTGGACTATCGCAACGAACTTGGACTATCGCAACGAACTTGGAATAAATCGCAACGCGAACTTGGACTATCACAATGCGAATATGTAAATCGCAACGCGAACTTGGACTATCGCAATGCGAATATGTAAATCGCAATGCGATAGTCGAAGTTCGCGTTGCGAATCTGGAAACTGATTTGCGATACCGGATATCGCGTTGCGAATTATCGATCGCATTGCGATTTAGTTGGTCATTTTGGAAAATCTAAAAAAAGTTGGTTAAAATCGTATATTATAAGACATTTTTGATCACTGAAGTTATTTTCTCTAAATAATTTATATGGAGTTGGTAAATGGATCAAGAGAACAAAAGGCGTTAGTTATTATTAAGGGTGTAATTCTGTCATTTATCAAATTGAATTCTCATAAATCGAACTAATCGAAAAATTTCTTTAACTGTTAATCGAATTGAACTTCTTTTTGAAAATATTAACTGAACTGAATAAAGTGTGCATAATTCAATCGATGACCGAATTAACCGAATTATATATATATATATATATATATAGTTAAATTAATTTGAGTTTAATAGATGTATTTTTTATTTGAGTTAAAATTTAATTAGGTCTTGATAATTTAGCATCTAGTGTGGTTAAAAAATATAATTTAGTATTAAATCTTAATAGGTTTGAGCTTAAAATATGTATTTAATATCTATAATATATTTAATATTTTTAGTTAACGATTAATTCAATTAATTAACTAATTTCAAATTGAATTAACCATTAACCGAATATTGAAAAAAATAACCGTTCTCCAACTGAACTAATTCAATGGTCAATCATTTTAACAGAACTAATTTAATTTAATAGGTTAATTTGGTTAAAACTAGGGGTGTAAATGAACCAAGCTTGAACGAAAAAAAGGTTATGTTAATGTTTGTTTGTTTATTTTAGAAGGTATTAATGTTCGGTAAGTGTTAATTTATTTATTTTTTAAGGGTTCGTTTATTTATTGTTCACGAACATATTCGTTTAATTTTCGTGAACGTGTTCATGAATTTGTTCATTTAGCGTTCACGAACATATTCATATAGTGTTCGTTTATATGTTCAATTTTTAGTTTTACCAACTTAAACACCTTAAAATTTACAGTTTAAATTTTAACTTTTACCTTGTGTTTAATTTAGTCCATAATTATAGAATGGCGCCAAATAAAAGGAGTTGATTATTATTATAGAACGATTACTATAGTTTGTATCAAAATTATGATTAGTCGGTATTATGTAATGAAAAAGAAACTGTTATGACAGACAAGCCAGCTAATCTAATGTGGGCAAAAACCAAACATAACAGGTGAAAGAAGTTAAATGCCTCGTGTCAATTAATTTGGTCAAAACTCCATTTCATAAAGAATTGCCAGACTCAGACACATCATGTGTATTACGCTGAGGATAAATGGGAACATGATAAGTTGTTCTTCTCTTCGGAATATGCAAAATATATCACCAATTCCCACCACTAAAACCCTCCCAATAATTTTTCCTACCCTTTCTTTTCATTCAAACATCCTTAAGGGATATTTTTAATCTCATACTTAATTAAAATTATCTTTTACTTTTATTTGTATTAATGTTATTATTGAATTTCCAAATTGTATCAATGCTTTTTTAATCAATAAAAATTATAGTTGAGTTTTAAGGTACTAGTACAACAATTGACATGAAAGTTTAAAATGTTGACATGACAATTTATGATGCTAATGAGGTTGTCTATAGTGTTATCATTATGGTTCACATGTAAACGGCGATATAATAAAGAGACTTAATTGATATTTTAGGAAGTATGAGGATATATATAATGTAAATTTTTTAGTTTTATACATATTTAAGATCATTGAATGAATTAAAATAAGCGGTTAAGATTAACAGTAGAAAATAATAAGTTATTCACTGGGAAAAAAATTTAGTTAATCTTGAGCGTTTATTTCCACTCATCTAACTATCATGAATCTATATAAAACTAAGTTTTATATTGTATAACTCGATCCTAATCATACACATGGATAAACGATTATCATACGAAAATATGTAGAAAATAAACTTAACATGTGTTTTTTTCCAACTTAGTGAATTGACATACCTAACAACGTACAACTATTTTCTTGAATTCAATAGATAGGCACGATGTACGTGAATCAGAAATAAATAAATAAATAAAAAAGATGCACGGTTTACATGTAGATTCATTTTCATATTTATTTGGGTAGCAATTAATTCGAGGCGTATACATGGGAGGAACCACATTTGGTATGCTTGCAATTATTGGTCTCAAATATTTATGATTGCGTCTGTTGTTAAACCTAATTAAAACAAATCAAATAAATAATTTGGGAAGAAGTAAATAAATGTCCGTCCTGCTCCATTGACTCAAACTAATAACATATACATCTACCTCCTCATTTGGAGTGAAATGTAATTCTATATTTTTTTAATTAAATTATACTGTTATATTGATGCATGAAATGAGGGGAAGTTTCTCAATTAATGGTTAATGGATAAGAATTGTTTACTTCCCCCACCATAAAAAAAACTACATTAATTGCATTGTAGAGTGAGTTGAAAGAGACCATACATTAATGTACATTTCCCCCTCAAATATAACTTGAAATTAATGTCTAATGATAATGATAATTTTTTTTAGTAGTTTAGGATAATTACAATATAATCTGTTCAGAATCTTTATTAATATGTGCAACGCGTACACACTCTCAAACATAGTTGCTTGAACCCAAAATCTATAGAAAGAATACGATTCTCTTTAACTAATGAGGTCACTTAAGATAAATATTTTCCTTAATTAAATACTAATAAATCTAAAATTTAGTTATGTTAATTAAAGCGTGGATATTCATGCGTTTGCAATAATACCTAAAATAACCAGCCACGTTCTTCCAAATATGCTAAAACAAATTTTTATCGACTTTTGCTTTAAATACAAGCCATATTTCCATTGTTTGTGTTGCAAATCCGATAACCATACGCGTGATCATTATTATTAATTATTTAATATAATGGGATCATTATTTAATGATAATACGAAGGTGGGATTTTCAAAACTAATGGCCAACTCCCAAAATTCTCTTGCTGACATGGAAGCCAAGTAACACTGGACCGTATATCAAGAGATACCACGTGGAGTTAAGCCATGTCATCAAATGACATGGTGATAAAGAGGGCGGAAGTGACAATTTTATTTGGTTTAATTATGCTTTTTAGATGTGAAAATTAAAAGAATTGAGAAAAAATATGGAAAAAAAATAAGATCATTAGGTAACGATTGGCAAAGAAGGAAAGGGGAGAAGAGTTAAGAGAGGATAGGCTTTAAGGCAAAAACCTATCCATATTCAGCTTCATGTGCATTCATTAATCAATGTGAGTGATAGAAAAATAAATACAAAGGAAAGGCAAAAGCACGATTCTTGTGCCTTACCATCCAACACTCACTTTCTTTTCTCCTTTTTCTTTCCCTTTTACGACAAATTCAATGCATTAGAAACTCTTCCTCGCTCACTATTGTTCTAAAATTACCATTTTCTCCTCATTCCCTTATTTGCTCTCAAGTTGGATGTCATATTAGTCGGCGGCAGATTCAGAAATATTTTTTTAGGGTGGACACACATATGTTAATAACATTTTAGGATGAACACTATTAATAAAATAAATAACAAATTGAATAAAATTTATATTTCAGTGCTTACACTCACCATTATGTGGCTCCGCTACTAATATTTGTCACGTAACTCTTTCATACTCTTTCCGTCCCATTATTTTAATCAATGTTGATCAACCACATGGCGTTAAAAGATAATTTTGATACATGTCAAATAATATAAAATAAGAGAAACGATAAAATTATCCTTAAAAGTAATTGATAGATTTTACATTATATAAAAATTAAAAAAAATGTAAGTATTATTATTTGTTGATTTTTTTAATAGAATATTTTGAAAGAAATCATTTTGAAATTTAAAAAAATAATGGAATAGAATGAGTATATATTTTTTATAGAAATAAAGTGAGTATAGTTATTCTTTATTAAAACAAATAATTGCAAGTGGAAAATGAATAAATGATAGTGAAAAAAATCAAGGAAGGTGAAAATAATATGATCAAAATTGAATTGATCGATTGAACTGATATAATTCTAAATTAATATATTCAATAGCTTAATTAATATATTTAAATCAGATATTTCAAAAATGATTGGAAGGGGCATAAAGGGCCACAACAAAGAGGCATAGTATTTTGATTCCTTGTCGACCACACCCGAGTAGTTGAATCCGTGAGTTCACCGGTCATTACCGGTCAGAGTCAGACAATCACCGGACAAACCAGTTTATCAGCTTTACATCTTTTTAATTCGGGGTCTAGTCCCATAGTAATAGGCCACATAGCATAGCGATGAGAGAGAATCTAAAATGGTATGATGCCAGCTATGAAGTTGAGGAATCAAAGCTTTCTCTGAGGTCAAAGCTGGCAATATATTATTTTTTTCTCTACTCTCTCCAGTGCCTTCCCTTATTTACTACTCCCTAAATCTTCATATCGATTTAGATTTAAAAAGCAACGTTTTCTCCCCATTATCCCCCACTCACTTCCCATTTCCCCACTGTTTCTTTCTCTAAATTTCTCCTCATATATATGCATGCTTTGGGATAAAGGAAGTAAAGTGAGAGAGGTTAATGGTTGATAATTGATTGATTTTTTTTATTTGATTATTCTTCAGCAAGGAATTAAAACAGCCATGGCTGTTTCTCCATGTTTGGGTGTTAATGATCAGAAGAAACACTGGTGGGTTAGCAATAGAAAGGTAAAACAAAAAAGCATTAATCTTTTTGTGCAGCGTCTGCAAAGATGTTCGTTTTACTGAAATGGGGTTTGTATATACATTTGATCTGTGCAGCTTGCAGAAAAGTATGTAAAGGATGCAAGGAGCCTCATCGCGACGCAAGAGAAAGACGATATCGTTTCCGCTCTTAATCTTCTGGAAGCGGCATTGGTGGTCTCGCCTCGTTTAGAGACGGCTCTGGAACTCAAAGCTAGGTCTTTGCTGTACCTGAGACGTTTCAAGGACGTTGCTGACATGCTGCAAGACTACATTCCCAGCCTCAAGATCTCGGCCGACGACTCGGGCTCCGTTTCATCGGATAACTCGTCACAGTCACTCTCGAGGGAGCGAGCCAAGCTTCTCCCTTCTGCTAACTCGTCCTCCGACTCACCTGATCGTGACCCATCTTTCAAGTGCTTCTCCGTCTCGGACTTGAAGAAGAAAGTGATGGCTGGGTTGAGTAAGAACTGCGACAGAGAAGGGCAATGGAGGTAAATTTCCCTCTTTATTCCGTTGTTTTTGTTTCCTTTTTCATCTTTTTGCTTGATTTTTTTCTTTTGTTTTTGTTTAGTTATTGTCATCGGAGGAGAACATGTTCTGTTCTATTGGTATTGAAGTAAATGCAGAGCCAGCCTCCATGGAATTCCCAACTATTTCACACTTAAAAATACCCAAACTTTTATATAATTCTTAAATCAAATATAATCTCTTAAATTATTAAACGTAAAATTATCTCTTTAAAACTTTTGTAGAAATATAGAAAGGAATTAATTTTGTTGTTATTTTGTAAACCTAATTTCTAATAAAATAAATTAAAAGTGAAATTGGCAATTATTAAGAGAATCCAAAAAATAGTGAAAAATAAACTTAGGGAGCTGTAGCCCTCTTAAATTTTAGCAAGGGTATTTAAGTAATTTCGTTCTTTGTTGAACTCTAGCATAGATTTTGATGCAGGTACTTAGTTCTAGGCCAAGCATGCTGCCACTTGGGACTAATGGAGGACGCCATGGCACTCCTACAAGCCAGTAAACGTCTAGCCTCCGCCGCATTCCGCCGTGAAAGCATCTGCTGGTCTGACGATAGTTTCTCTCTCCCTACCACCATTAATACTTCAGACATCTCCTCTGCCGCCACGACGCTTCCTAGCAATCCCACATCTCTCTTTGAATTGGAAAACATTTCCCAGCTTCTTTCGTATATCAAATTCCTAATCCGCCGTCGAACTGCTGCCATCGCCGCTTTAGATGCTGGCCTATACTCTGAAGCCATACGCCATTTCTCCAAAATAGTAGAGGGTCGCCGCCCTGCCCCTCAGGGCTTCCTTGCAGAGTGTTATATGCATCGAGCCTCTGCTTACAAGGCCTTGGGTCGAATAACTGAGGCGATCGCGGACTGTAACAAAACGCTTGCTCTGGATCCATCTTGTATCCAAGCGCTCGACACCAGGGCCATGCTTTTGGAAACAATACGATGCCTACCTGATTGTTTACACGACCTCGAACACTTGAAACTGCTTTACAATTCCATCTTGCGAGATAGGAAACTTCCAGGTCCGGCCTGGAAGCGTCACAATGTTCGGTACAGGGAGATCCCGGGGAAGCTTTGTGAATTAACGACTAGAATCCAACGATTGAAGCAAAGGGTTGCTTCTGGGGAGACTGCAAATGTTGATTATTATACATTGATTGGTTTGAGGCGTGGGTGCTCAAGGTCTGAACTTGAGAGAGCTCATTTGCTGCTGTGCTTAAGGCACAAACCGGATAAAGCTACCAACTTTATTGATCGATGTGAGTTCGCCGGAGAGCTCGATCTCGACTCCATTAAAGACAGAGCCAAGATGTCGGCTTTGCTTCTTTACAGATTGATTCAAAAAGGGTATTCCAGCGTGATGTCTACAATCATGGATGAAGAAGCAGCAGAAAAGAACTGGAAGAAAGGCGCTGGTGCTTTAAAACAAGCAAAACATTCAACAATTCAAGTGCCGCTAACCCAAAATTCAAACTCTAAGTTAGAACAGGAAGCCAATCTCGCTTCTTCGACAAAATCATCAGATGTTTCGGCCGGCCATAGTTCCAATACAAATTCGATTCAAGGTGTGTTTTGCAGGGATCTTGCTGCGGTTGGGAATTTGCTATCACAAGTAGGGTTTAATCGTCCACTTCCAATGAAGTATGAGGCACTGAGTTGCTGATTGTTACTTAGAAGTCCACTCTACTGTCATATCAAAGATTATAAAGTTACTGGAGATGTTTATCCGGCAAATGAATCTCTTTACAAATTTTCCTGTTTGTACAAAAAAAGTAAAAATTTTAACCTGCCGGGAAATTTTGTCGTCACCTTTCTTCATTTTACGTTTTTATCTACCACATGTACATAAAATTTCATTATTGAAATTCTACTTTTGGCTTGGCCTAAAAAGTTATTTTTTCCATTGAAATTCAATTTAATGGAGATTAATGTTTAGATTTACACTAGATTTTTTGATTTAGCAAATATGAAGAAAAGTACAGGGTTTTGGTCTTTTTTATCCGTCTTATTTGTTGGCATTTAATTTTCTTAAATTATTTTATCTGCAGCAGACTGACATGTCTGACATTCCACTAGATTTTTTTAAAATTTGCTAGCTCCACACCAAATGTCTGAAATTCCGAGTATGGAGACGTTGGATCTTATTTGAAGGCTTTGAGTGAATCATCGTAATTTAAACGTGGCCTAGGGTGGGGAAATACAACGTGGAGTCAGGTTTCTGCCAAGAGTGTAAGAAAACAAAAGTAAAGGGGGTTCTGTAAAGGTGATGTCAATTCATGCTTTTGCGAGGCATGCAGAAAACAGTCTTCTCCTCCGTTGCAATCACATAATTATGTATGATGGAGTTGGTAGTAGCGATAAAAGCTTTTAGGGTGTGTTCGATTGACGGAAGGTAAGATTATCAGTAGAAATAAAAGATTATCAGAAAATAGGATTACTGAGAATGTTGTTGTAACCCTTACAGACCGATAAGGGTAACCAGATCCGATCCGAGGTGTCACATTTGGGCCACCGTAGCGATCAACTGTAAAAATAACAAAAAATTTAAAACTTTTATTAAAACGTGTAACTTATAAAATAAGTTGTCACTGTTTAAAAATAAAAAAGATTTCAGACTCATATATAAATCAAAATACAATTACATGCCCCCTAATCACATGTACCATACTCTGCAACAACGCCGGAAGAACTCCCTTACTGAAGTCGATAGATGCACTGGAACAATTCTTTTAACCTGAAAAGGTGAGTAATAGAGTGAGCTTCGGAAAGCTCAGTCACACACACACACACACACACACGCACACGCACACACATATATATACCCCCATTCGTCAAGTCCAAAATGTGTAGGTTCCCCAGAACTATACACCCACCATCAAGTCCAGTAAGGCCCTGAGCACAAAGCCTAGGAACCGCTAAGTAAGGCCCTGAGCACACAGTCGATGAGCCTACAGGTATACTTCCTCTAACATTACCCCCCAAATGAAACATGTTCCATCCGTAAACGGATATATCAAAAATCATAACAAAATCCATGTCAAGTATCAGACTCATAACAAAATCCATGTCAAGTATCAGACCAAAATCCAGGTCAAGTATTCAATCAGAATCCAGGTCAAGTATCCAATCAGAATCCAGGCCAGGTATTATAATAGAAATCAAATCGGAAATCAAGTAAAATATCCAGGTGATTAGGGAACATACCAGAGTTTACAGAAATTATTCAGAGGTACTGAATAATCTTAACAGGTAGAGGAACACAGATCTTCAATATACCGATAGAATATCGAAATTCAGAATCACTGTTGGAAGAGTTGATAGAACTCCCTTACTGAAGTCGATAGATGCACTGAAACAATTCTTTTAACCTGAAAATGTGAGTAATAGAGTGAGCTTCGGAAAGCTCAGTCACACACACACACGCACACGCACACGCACACGCACACGCACACGCACACGCACACATATATACCCCCATTCGTCAAGTCCAAAATGTGTAGGTTCCCCAGAACTATACACCCACCATCAAGTCCAGTAAGGCCCTGAGCACAAAGCCTAGGAACCGCTAAGTAAGGCCCTGAGCACACAGTCGTCGAGCCTACAGGTATACTTCCTCTAACATTACCCCCCAAATGAAACATGTTCCATCCGTAAACGGATATATCAAAAATCATAACAAAATCCATGTCAAGTATCAGACTCATAACAAAATCAATGTCAAGTATCAGATCAAAATCCAGGTCAAGTATTCAATCAGAATCCAGGTCAAGTATCCAATCAGAATCCAGGCCAGGTATTATAATAGAAATCAAATCGGAAATCAAGTAAAATATCCAGGTGATTAGGGAACACACCAGAGTTTACAGAAATTATTCAGATGTACTGAATAATCTTAACAGGTAGAGGAACACATATCTTCAATATACCGATAGAATATCGAAATTCATAATCACTGTTGGAAGAGTTGATATATCAAAAATCATAACAAAATCCATGCCAAGTATCAGATTCATAACAAAATCCATGTCAAGTATCAGATCAAAATCCAGGTCAAGTATTCAATCAGAATCCAGGTCAAGTATCCAATCAGAATCCAGGCCAGGTATTATAATAGAAATCAAATCGGAAATCAAGTAAAATATCCAGGTGATTAGGGAACACACCAGAGTTTACAGAAATTATTCAGAGGTACTGAATAATCTTAACAGGTAGAGGAACACAGATCTTCAATGTACCGATAGAATATCGAAATTCAGAATCACTTTTGGAAGAGTTCAATAACTGACAAAATCATTAATTATTCAGAATATGACTTGATCTGGTAAGGAAGAAATGAAGGTTCAGGACATTTACAATCTATGTCGATTGATCGGATTATCAAACAACTCTTAGATGAATAGCTCCCAAAACTAATGCTTGTCGATTGATCAATTCATTGTTCTTCTATGGTATTTACTCTTTAATACCACAAATTCTTGTCCATCGATCATTTTAAAATCATCGCTGAATAGATCTTCCAATGTCTTCATTTCATTTCCACGCTTCCACAATATCATTTAATGCTGACGTACTTGATTATTTTAATCATAAACCATCGTAATTGTACACTATGTAAACTCATCAGAGTTTCCAGACTTATCCAATTCACTTACTAAATCCTCAGTCATTGAGGTTACCTAATTCATTTAGCAGTCATGTCCATTCCCGTAATATTCGGGGGGTTTCAGGGTAATCCAGATGTTTCTGAATTTTGGATACATACTGTACTTTTGTTCAATTCAATTTGGTCTTCGTGGTCGATTTGTCTAACAAATATCAACTCCTTACTATTGAATGCGTTCTAGAGTTGATTTGAGCTGAATACTTCCAAAACTATCATCGAGCCAAACTTGAAAATACAAACATGCATTCAAGTGACATCTATGTCGCTCAGGTACTGATATAACACTAGCATTGGTTGCTCGACTTAATAGGTGATCCATAACTTTTAAGATCAGTACCACACCCATGTTTATTTGGATTCCTTAATTAATCCAACATCTACTTAGTCTAGGTCCCAAGGGTATTTTGGTAATTTTGGTGTTCAGTTTTACTGCATTTATTTCAGAGCTCGAGGATATCCAATCATTCTTGAGCTTGGTGGTATTCTTAGGTCATTTCTATTACAGGGGTATTTTGGTTATTTTACAGATTCAGTGTATTTTAATCCTTTTCTTCCGTTCGATCTTATTATTAAATTCAATCTCATCATTTATTTCAGTCTTTTCGAACAATTCTGATAGCATAATACCCCAATAAATTATTCCTTAGGTATTCACTCATTACTCGAATATTTTCGAGTCAAGTGCCTTCTCAGATCTTACAAACGAAATATCATAAATTTTTCTGTACAAAAACAAATCTTAATAATTAAATTCGTACTTAATCGAGTTAAGTACAAATCCTCAAAGTACTTTGTCATACAGGGTCAACTCAGACTATTTTATCTCTCAAGGATATTTTCGTAATTTCTTAACCAGATAATTTCGGTATTACCTCTTAACGAAAATAATTATAATTTAGAGATCCTATGATCAATTGCTTTCCCGAACATTCTCTTATCTTGAAATGATTCCCTTAACAGACTTCTAGTATCCTTCACAAACCCTCAAAAGACTAAAAACCGGTTATCCGCATTTCTTAAGAAAACTAGCATTTTTTATGCACATCAATAATTTTTACCGGATCAATATGTCTTTTCAGAGTTATTAACCAACTTCCAGGGACAATTATTGTCATCTTACAACATAAGGGTATTTTTGTAATTTTACCCTACCAGATTATTCTCATAATTTCCCATACAAGTACCTTTAACATATTACCTTTGATGAAATAAATTATAAAATACATATCCAGATTAATTTCTTTACTACCAAACACATAACTTGAAATTTAATTCCAACAACCCTTCAATCTCTTATATTAATCATTTGATCCGTATTCAGATACTGAATTTCTATCACATTCATATCGAGTGTATAAATTAATCAACTCCACAAAAGTGACCAACATTATCTCATTCATGCATTTACCAATATCAACATATTCCATAAAGCATAAAGAGGTAGTAAAATATTACCTCAATTTCCGTGCAATATTGATCGACCATAAAAATTCCATTCGAATACCTTTGATATTCAATTCAACTTCCAATAATTCCTCAGATACATATCAACATAAATTATATCAGAAACGGAGCTTAATTGCGATAAACGGATCGAATCAGGTAATAAATCAATGAAAAATAGCTTACCGGGTTCGAATTTGGCAAAACGGACTTCGAATTCAAATTTAGGACGTCGAAAGCATAATATATGTCTTTTCGGAAATTTGGAATTTTCGGTCAAAATCAAAGTCAACGGGTTTGAACGGCAATTTCGAGGCCTTCGAGTTCGAATTTCGAAAAACAGATTGCGGAATCAGATTTGGAACGTCAAAAAATTTCAGGATAGGTATACTCGGTCAAAGTCAAAGGTCGTTTAATGCTCGGTCAAAGCGCGTCAAAGTTTTGGTCAATAGTGGTCAACGCCGGTCAACGGTCAACGGGTCGGGTCGAGTTATGACCGGTTAAACCGGTCAAAACAGAAGCAAAACTGGTCAAACAAATCATTTTTTTCTTCTCCACGCGCAGTGGCGGCGCATGAGGGTGTGAACAGTACCTTGATGTTGGAAAATTCCCGGAAAAATTTCTTAAAATTATTTTAAGCGATTTCAAGATACTTACAAAGCCCGGTTCAAATTTTTGAATGACAGAGAGCTCGATTTCAACGAATCAGAAACTTTGACCGCTTCACCTCCTCACGCGCCGCCGTCAACGGAGACCAAGGATGACACCGGAAGACTCGGAATGGAACAAGGAACACGATGGTGCGGGAGGTGTCGTAAACGGATGCTCAGATCGTCGTGAATCGACGAAAAACCAATTGAAATC